CCACATCCCACATCAGATTGCCTGGTTCAAGTCCCGGCACTCTGCTTCCGATCCGGCTTCCTGCTAAGGTGCCTGGAAGGTAGCAGACGACACTCTAAACAACTGTGTTCCTGCCACCCACGTGGGTGGCCCAGATGGGGTTCTTGGCTCCTGGCTTTGGTCTAGCTAAGGTCTGGCTGCTGCAGCCATTGGCAAGTGAACCACTGAATGGAACATCGATCCTCTATCCCTCTGCCTTGCAAATAAATAAATAAATCTTAACAACAACAACAACAAAGAAACCTGGCAAATCTCCTCATGCAATTCAATATGTAAGCCACTCGAGCCTAATGGTTATCAATTTTCTTGCAGAGAACGTGAAGTTTTCTCCGGCACCCACAGATTGTATCCAAAGAGCTGGGAGAAGCATCTCAGCCATGCCAGCCTCGGGGTGGGGGTGGTCCCCCTGGCAGCAAGGTTGCCCCCAGGGGAGCCTGTGAGGTCCAGCCAGGACTGCCCAGCTCAGCTCCATGTGGGTAAAGGTTGGAAAACCGATTTCAAACACTACCTGTCCTAAGTCAACAAACCCAGACTCTGGTGGAACAAAAGCCACTGGGCAAAGAAAGCAAGCCATAAAACAGAGCCCTGCAAATAAAGGGCTGAGCCTCCAGGCAAAGGTCGGCTCCCCACAGCACAGAAGTGCCAGGCTGCTCATTCCCGTGGGGCTGGTCATGGTCTCTGCCACTGCCGGCTGACCCTGCAATCAGAGGCACCCACCCCTGCAGCCAGCTCCCTTCAGACCCTCCACAGCTTCCGGACCCATCTCACACCTGCAAGGCAAGTTCACTGCAGGGAGAGAGTGACCACGTGCAGGAACCTTCAGAGGTGCAAGTGGCCCGCCATGCACAGAGGGACAGCATCCACAGCAGGAAGAGGGACAATACCCGATCCACTTTCCTCCCAACGAAGACAAACACCCCGCAGGGGAGCAAGGCTCTGTGTTAGCAACTCTGGCCCAGGCTCCCCGCTGTGGAACCCACACAGGGGGCACTGACACTTTCACGAAGCCTCAAGGTTCAGAAACCACAGAGCTGTGAACATGGGATAGTGATTTAAAAACAAACAGAAAAGCAGGTGCATGGGGAGAGGGGGAAGCCCAAGGGAAGGCCTAAGGGCCTCCACCATGGAGGAGGAGGAGGTAGCCGCCAGGTGGGAGCCCAGCCAGGTCCCTCTGGGCTGTGGCCGGGCCAGCACAGCCCCCTGCAAAGTCAGAGGTCGCCCAACACCCCAAGGTTCCCACGTGGACCTGGAGTTTGAGTACTTCACCCACCTCTGCGGAACCCTTTTTTTTTTGCAAATGAGCACTGAATACTCACACGCAGAGAGGTTTCTTCTTTCTACTAGCTTGGGAGAAGGGCAATGAGGGGCTGATCAACGACATTAAGGAGGCCTTGTCTCAATTGTCTCCTGTGGTGCCCATCGCACAGCCTCGGCAGCTGGGGCCATCCGGATCCCCTTTGCAAAAGAGGAAGCTGCAGCTGAGGTGCAGAGAGATTAAGTAACTCTGCCGGAAGCTGCTCCAAGGCCAACAGTCTCTACTTCACCGCTCTGCCCGATGGAAGCAGCTACCAAAGCTAGTTCCCACTGCTGAGACTTAAAAGTTGAAACACTTAAAAGTGCAATGCATTCAGTAGTATCAGGAAAAACATTTATCTGTTCATAAATGATCAGATGACTGAAGCTCTCTGTTTTCAAAGAATGGAAATGAAAAACAAAGACTGATGCACACACGGGAGTATATAGGCATGGGGTACTTCCAAAGTTCATGGAAAGTGCACATGACGAAGAAACTCCACGTGGAGTTCAAGATTCTTTGCACTAAGATAAACCCGCCTTTGCACTGCCCTTGTGTGTGTCTACACATGAGTATATGCTTTCTAGCGTCTTCATCACGCCAGTTCTTCAGGTTCACGAGATCTCAAAAGGTCTTACACTGGGTATTATTTTTATCTGCGCACAGAAGTGGGGATTCAGGAGTAACTTGTTTAACAGAGTGAAGAAGATAAGCTATCATCTTTTTTGTGTTATTAAAACCCTTCTGGCAGCAAATTAATTTCCATTTAATAAGTAACACAAGGCCTACAGCCATGAACACAAGTAATCCAACTGGGTGGTAACACTCAAACAGATCTGCAAAGTCACAAGTCACCCAAAAACACCACAAAGAAAAACTTCACGGGAGACCAATCTAGAAGTAAATGCCAAAACGAAGTGCTTGAGAAACTAACTGTAAAGGTGCCTCTCTCTGGAGAAACAGGACACGAATGGACCCAATAAAACTAGCTCTGGTACTTGAAAAGCAAGTCGCTGTCCATTCACAAGCACACAGCTTTCATCGGCAATGGTTGAAACTAGGGAGCCAAGGAAAGCAGGTAAATTAAAACCTGTCCAGTGCGGCTTACAACAAACTCAGGCAGAATTCAGACTCGGGAGGCAATGGAATATGAAAATTATACCAGACACCTGGACATCGCACTACTTTCAAAAATAGCCTAGGAAAGAAAATAGGAAATGAACACTCAAACACCTACTACAGAGAAGGGACACATACACGTTCTTACTTAATTCTCTCAACAATCCAAAGAGGTTGAGGATAGCTTTCTGTCCCCCCAAACGAGCAAACTGAGGCTTCCTCAGACATTTTAAAAATTCATCCAGGGTGGGGCAGGCGCTGTGGTGTAGTAGGTAAAGCCGCCGCCTGCAGTGCCAGCATCCAATATGGGCACCAGTTCAAGACTCAGCTGTGCCACTTCCCATCCAGCTCTCTGCTACGGCCTGGAACAGCAGTGGAAGATGGCCCAAGTGCTTGGGCCCCCACACTTACGTGGGAGACCTGGAAGAAGCTCCTGGCTCCTGGCTTCAGATCGGCCCAGCTCTGGCTGTTGCCGCCATTTGGGAAGTGAACCAGCAGATAGAAGACCTCTCTCTCTCTGTCTCTGCCACTCTGTAACTCTGCCTTTCAAATAAATGAATAAATCATACAAAAAAAAAAAGAGAGAGAATTCATCTAGGGTGATTCAATCAGTAAGAAAAAGAACTGAAAATGGTGGGAATCACGCCCCAATGTTTCCCACTATTCCTGGCTTCAAGAGGAGGAGAAAGAGCAGGCAGAATGTCTGGAGGGATGGAAGAAAGCAAAGAAACCCCCCACACAGCGTGCAGGCCAGGTGGTGGGCTCCATCAGGGCTGACACCCACACTGAGAACCACGTCCCACATCCACCCAACCTGGCCTGAACGTGCCTTGCCCTGGACCACTTCTTTCTGTAAAGCCACTTGCTTCTCCAAGTCATGATTTCAAAACCCGGATTTAAAACACACACCGCTCCCCCTGCCGCAGTCATGGGAAGGGCACACAGCGTGCGTCTTTTCCCATCCTCCAAACCCACAAGGCAAGCTGGAAAGGAGCCGCAGGTGGATGCCCGCAGGTGGCATCTGGGAACCAGGTAGGAAGGAGCCGCCCGAGTCTGGTTTGTACCTTAATCACTGATACCAGGAATCCCTCAGAATTCCTGAAGCGTGGCCAAGTGCTTTGGGGAAAACGACAAATGAACGAGGCAGGAGAAAGCTTTCCTACTCAAAACTAAAGGAGCTCCACCAGGGGAGAAAGCTGTCAGAGGCTGCAGGCAGGCGAGACTTCTCCCCGGAAAGCAAACACCTGGGACGCGGTCCTCATCTCCGCCCGGTCTGTGTGTTTAAGCAGCGCTTCATCAGGCCTGCCACAATGGGCACACACACAAGTACTCCCTAACCCATGCAGAATCAGAACCCTCCGCCTTGGGATTAGCTACTATGAGGACGCATCATTTTTAGTTTCCTTCCCCAAAGCGAGACCCTTGGTCAGGGACCTATGCTGTGTCCGGTGGTCTTCACGCATTTCACTAGCGTGGCCAGGCTCGCTTCTCCAGCGATTGGGGTGGGGGGTGGGGGGTGGTGAGCAGGGTGTAGAATTTCGAAGGCAAGGCAACCAGGAAGGTGGGAGCAAACGCTTGGACCCCGACTCGGCCGGCGAACGCGGGCCGAGGGAAACCACCGCTGGGGAGTGGGGGGCTCCCCAGGCGCATATGTGACTCGGGTCCCCTGTCCTTTTGCGAGCCAGCCCCAGCCGCCGCGTGCTGCTCTCCGTCCTCCCCACTGACAGCGGTGCTGGCCCTGGGGCCCCCGCGGAGAAGCTGGGCGGACGCTCCAGGCTTTCCTTTCGCTTTAGGGAAGGAAGCAAAGTGGGGAAGTGGGGGTTAAAGCCTTCCTCCTCCCAGCAAATTGTCCTCAGCAGGCTCACGGCGAGGTGACAGCGACGGACATCAACCCGGGCAGGGAGGGAGACGGCCTGCGTTGGGAGCGACGGCCAGGAGCTACAGTCCAGCTTCCCCGCACGCATCCTGGGTTAAAGCGCCCGGGTGTCTGGCGGCGCCTGGCTCTGCGGTGGGGACGGCCGATCCCACCCCATCCCTACTCGCAGGTGCGGCCGTGGTCAGGTGCTGCGGCTGTAAGGACTTTTACCGGCACGTTGGCACAGGCTGCCAATGGGGGGCCCAGCAGAGCCCGGCCATAGAGGACTTCCAGAGGGGCAGTGGCCGCCGCAAGGAAGCCAGCAGCACTCCCGCCCCCCGACCAGGGGAACCGCCAGCCCAGCTTGGCCCCTCCGGGCTTAACCCCGGCCAAGCGTGTAGCAGACCAACCAAGCACGCAAACACCTCCCGCGAGGTCCCGCCTCCCGGCAGGTGATACTCCCACCGAACTCACAACAGCGCTGCCCCCGGCCATCCGAGACTTCCCGACCCCGAAGCGGCGCAGGTTCCGGGCACCCCCACTCCAATCCCACCCGTGGGGGCTCCGCAGGCGGAGCGCGCGGATAGCTGCTGCCTCCGGATCCCCGGAGTCCACTGGTCCGGGGGCCACTGGACCCTGCCCGACTATCGGGGTGGAGGTTTCTGGGGGTCGCGACGCCGCGTCTCTCCTTACCTGGCGTTCGCTGGGCCCCGGCTGGGGCATCTGCCGGGTGCGCCCTGCTCCGAGCGCTCGCTGTGCACCTGGTCGTCTCCGCCGCCTCCCTGCCGCCGGGCCCCAGCGTTGGCCGCGGCGCTAGCGCCTCATGGCGCACGGGGGCTGGCCGGGGGCCCCGGGCAGCGTGTCCAGTTGGCGGCCGCTCCTCCGGCTCCCGCGGTACGCCAATGGCTCCCCGCCTTCCCCGCCTCGCGTCCGCGCGCCCTTCCTCTGCGGCCGCCCTTTTCCCTCCGCTCCGCGGGACCGGCCAAACTGGTTTCTCAGCTACAGGGAGGTGCCTCTCATCTCCCTCCGGCAGCCGCGGCCGCCAAGCGCGGCTGGGGCTGTGGATGGGGCAGGGGTTGGGGCTGGGGGCGGGCCCGGACGTCTGCCCTCCCCCGGTCCCTCCCCGGGGCGGAGAAGGGCTGGACGGCGAGCCCCAGGGCGGGCCCGCCGCTGTGGTCCGGGACCGGCCTCCCGCCCTCGGTGCGCCCCGGCGGCAGGTGCGCACCCCGCGCTGTGTCCCGAGCGCTGGTCTCTCCTCGCCCAGCCGGCGACCAGGCAGCTGCGGCGGCTCTGCCTCTTCACCCCGCCCCACCAGCCCGGCGTCACTTTCCCACCGCCCTCTGCCGGGTTGGCCGCAGCCTGGGGTCGGAGACAGCTCCTGGCCGGAAAGCTGGCGGGGTCGTGGCGCGCCCGGGACCTGAGCTCCCTTGGTAAGGAGAGCTGTGCGCTCTCGGTGCCAAGTCACGTTTCGGGACCAGTCACAGAAGGCGAGCCGTGGTTGCCCGCGCGGGGGGTAGGGAGAAAAACAGCACCCAGAGACTTCGAGAAACTTTTATCCTCTGCGGAGCCCAAACTCGTGCGTGTTTATAGCTTTAGGGAGAAAAGGACTTCCAGGGCCACATGTGAACTATGCGCTGCTGTTGAACATTTTGCGCGTTTCTGGCTCACCTGTTGTGGACAAGTCACAGGGATCGGAATGGAGCAAAGTCAAAGGCCTACATGTTTGCTAACAATGCAACAGGGGACATAGAACTCCTGGACAAGTGCCCGACGACCTGCAGATCAGAGCAGAGTCATCATGCAGGAGTCTGCGCAGGGGCTGAGGACGGATGATGCCCCATCTACAGGATCGGAGTTGTCTCGAGGAGAAATTCAAAGAGGGGCCTTGTGATTCGATCTTCAAGCCTATCAAAAACCCCACTGATACTGCCAATCCCAGGTACCCCGGATTTCCAATTCTTTAGGCACCTTCGTGGTGCAGACCAGGCATTTAATCTGCACGGGCCTCAGTTGCCTCCTCTGTAAACATGAGAGCGGACTAGATGGTCGCCAATGGTTCCCTCTAGCGTTATCTTCTGAACTAGTGACAGAGCAAAGCCTCTGAGACACGGAAACCTAGGGCCTGCTTAGTGACAACGTGGTCAGTAAACCAGCCTCCCGCAGGGCATTAAGAGGCTAGAGCCCTCGAATGCAAGGCTTGGGAGTTTGGACTTCTCTTGGTAGTTCTTGCAAACCACTGAACGTTTCTGAACACAGCAGTGACATGATCAAGGATGTGTTTTGGGGAAGGTATTAGGATGGTTGGAAGAAGAGAAGAGAGAAGACAGAGGTCTGGCCTGGGAGGCAAGTACCACAACAGAAGAGGTCGCCAGAAATGGTCGAGATTCAAAGGACATCTTGGAGAAAAGCGGTCAGAGCACAGAGGGACCAGAACCTGCAGCTCATTTGCAGAGAGAAGCATGCAGGACCAGCCAAGGTCCTGAGGGTGACAGCTTGATCGGGATTGCAGAGTCGAAAGGAGAAAAATCAGTTAGGAGGGCTCAGCCCCTATCAGGAGAAATGGTAGCAAACCTAGTGATCTAGAGAGGACTCCAGGGTCCAGGAGGGATCCCCCGCTTCTTGCAGATCCCAAAGGATCAATCTGTACAAGGAAATGCTGCATAGAAAAGATGGCACCAGGGCACACCGTACCCAGATCTGATGAATACTGTTCCAATGGCTGCATTCAACAACCCTATGCAGACACCAAAGTTTCTCTTCTTCTATTGCAGGCCACTTGGAAGGGGCAGAGTGGACACTGGGCACAATGAGTATTGATTCAAAGATGTATTCACTCAGTAAATATTCAGGGAGTACCCACTGTGTATCAGGCACTGTTCTAGTTGGTTGTGTGCATCAGTGAACCAAGGAAGCAAATTGTGTCCTCCAAGGTGACACAGGCTTGGAGAAAGCAGAAAAGACTCCTGTGGGGTAGGATAGGGGCTGAAGGAAGCTTCTGGGGTGGCATGGGGCGGGGGAGGTCTATGAATGTTCTACATGTTGATCTGGGTGGTGGTTCTCAGAGTGCATGTATAGGTAAGATTTCATCAACCTGGGGGCCTGCGCTGTGACGCAGTGGGTTAACGCCCTGGCCTGAAGCGCCAGCATCCCATATGGGCACCGGTTTGAGACCTGGCTGCTCCACTTCCTGTCCAGCTCTCGGCTATGGCCCGGGAAAGCAGTAGAGGATGGCCCAAGTGGGCCCCTGCACCCACATGGGAGACCAGGAAGAAGCTCCTGGCTCCTGGCATCGGATAGGTACAGCTCCAGCTGTTGTGGCCATCTGGGGAGTGAACCATCAGATGGAAGACCTCTCTCTCTCTCTCTCTCTCTCTCTCTCTCCCCCTCTCCTCTCTCTGTGTAACCCTTTCAAATAAATAAATTAAATCTTTAAAAAAAGATTTCATCAACCTGTATACTTAATGTGTGTACATCAAAAAAATTATTTAAAGCTATCCTGAAATAATAGTTAAAAAAATAATGAAAATCAAGCAGGGCTTAGCGCTTAGGAATAGGAAGGTGAGTTGCAGTGTTAAATAGTGGCCAGGGTAGGTTCCTTGAAGAGCTGCATTTGGAAAAGACGCCCAGGAAGGTGGTGTTTCATCTACACAGACAATCCTTTGGAGACCTGTGTTGCCTGGAAGTCCCCCTACGTGTTCAAACCTGATCCTAGTGGGTTCCCACGCGTAAGCCTTCTCTGGAAGTGGACTCTCGGGGCACGTCAGCAGATGTTGCTGATGAAGTCCTGACTCTTGTCTTCTCTGAAAGAACCACACCACACTCAGGGTGCCCCAGGCCAACCATTCAAAGCGTCTCTGCGTGCAGTGAGGACTGGCACTGAAATGTGTCTCGCATGAGTCACTAAGAGATGGCACCTGTGCCCTGATCCCACCAGCCTGGGCAATTCCTTCTCAGCCTCCCCAGATGGGAGTGAATAAACACACGAGAAGCCACTCCCACCCAGTAACCTGCACCTTCCCTCGCAAGCTGCTGGGGGAACGATGAGATCACACCGGAGCAGCTGTCTCTAAAAGAAGCCAAGAGGGCTTCTCAGCCTTTCTAGTTCTTTCTTCACTGCAGCTCTTTCTTGTTTTGCCTTTCCTTGCACATTCACATGATGTGGGCAGAAAGGCTGGGAAAACTGTCAGGAAAGCAAGCCCACTTTTACTGAGAATTCATTTCCTAGAACTGTTTTTCCTACAAGCTAAGGGATAAATGATACATTTCAAGGGAGGTGATACTACCTGTATTCAGTTCTTTGCTAAGCCCAGGAGTCATTTAATGCCAGTGGAAAGGTATTTGTGTCTCTCTAGGTACTGTCGTAACCCTAAGTTGCTGGTCAAGATGAACCCAGAAGATAATTCTTCATTGCCATTGTCTATACCAGCTCCAGAATTTTAAACCTGATAAGAAGATACCTGTTATGTGAACCTGTGTTTGTAGTAACTAACACCAAAATCTTCAAGTATCTACCCACTTTCTTTTTTATAAAAGATTGATTTATTTTACTTGAAAGTCAGAGTTACACAGAGAGAGAAGGAGAGGCGGTGCGGGGGGCGGGGGGTGTCTTCCATCTGCTGGTTCACTCCCCAATGGCCGCAATGGCCAGAGCTGTGCCAATCCAAAGCCAGGAGCCTCCTCCGGGTCTCCCACGTGGGTGCAGGGGCCCAAGGGCTTGGGCCATCCTCCACTGCTTTCCCAGGCCATAGCAGAGAGCTGGATCAAAAGTGGAGCAGCCGGGACTCGAACCAGCGTCCATATGGGTTGCCGGCACTACAGGCAGTGGCTTTACCCATTATGCCACAGCGGCAGCCCCCCACTTTCTTTTAATTGGTATTTAAAGCAACAAATTAAAACTATATTCTGTTCCCTCTGGCATAAATAGTTTTCCAAATTTCTCTCTTTTTTTTAAACTTTCTAAAAAGTAATCATTTTAATTTGATTTGAGAGAGAATCTTTCATCTACTGTTTCACTCCCCAAATGCACAACAGCTGGGGCTGGCCAGGCCAAAGCCAGGTGCTCAGAACTCAATCTGCCATGTTGTTGGCAGAGACCCAAGTGCCTGGACCATCACCCCTGCCTCCCAGGGTAGGCAAGAGCTGGGTCTGAAGTGGAGGAGCTGAGGCCCCCATACAGGAGGAGGACATCCCAAGCAGCGTCTCAACCACTGCCCCGAATGCCCGCCCCAGAATTCCTCCCAGGTTACCAGGCTTCCGCCTCCCTTACCACTGCATGGCTTCTTTTTTTCTGACCAATTTTAATAATAAAGAACCGAATAAAGATTGGAATGCAAAAGAAACATTAAGCACCATGTGACCAAGTATGTCTTGGTTATTTTGGCCACCGCCCAGTAGCAGGTGCTTCAGACGTCAGAGGAGGTGTTATTCCTGGATGGACCATTGCAAGTTACTTCCTTTCCCCCACACTAGTGAGTATGTAAATGTGTGGGGTTTGTCTACAGTGCTACTTCCCTACAAGGAAGAGATTTCAATAAACTGTTTATTATCTAGATGGAAATATAATGAACAACACATGGCTGGGTTGCTGGTAAAAACCAGTTAAACTTAATTAGTATAATTAGTTTATACATTTAATACTCAATTTTCCGAATTATCTTGTGGTCATTGTTAGTATGTATTGCTGTGTTTTCATGTAGTTGTAAGTTTGTATCATGCTCTGGGTTTTTTAATTTTTAAAAAGATGTATGTATTTATTTATTTGAAAAAGAGAACACCAGAGAGACGGAGAGAGACAAAAAAAGAAAGATCTTCCAGCTACCGATTAATTCCCCAAATGGCCGCAACAGCCAGGCCTGAGCCAGGCTGAAGCTGGGAGCTCAGAACTCCATCCTGTCTCCCACAGGGTGGCAGGGCCCGGGTACTTGGGCCGTCCTCTGATGCTTCCCTAGGTGCATTAGCAGGGACACTGGATTGGAAGTGGTAGAGCTTGGGCTCACTGGTTTCACAGATGGTGGCTTAAGCTACTGACCACAACACTGGTGCCGTTTTAAAATTATTTTTTATTTAATTGAGAGGGTAGAGAAAGAGACAGAGCTCCCACCTGTTAGTTCCTTCCCCAAATGCCCCCAAATAGCCAG